CAGCCCTTGTAGTCAGCAAATTTTTACTGATTTCCAATTTTTTTTTTTTTTTTCAGTGATGATGTTGTCAGTATTAATGCTAATAAATTATATTTATATCTTCCAGTATCAGTCCAAATTGACAACAATCAGTGTCTAAATAATACTTAATAGAGAACCTGAAATGTGAATTGTTGTAAAATTCATCTATACACAAAAACGCTTCCTCCGTTCTGGACCATATCCTAACAATGATCATTTTTATGAGTGCATCTTTTTTTTTTTTTTTATCAGCATTGTTTATTAAAGAAATGCACTTTGAAAGGCGGGTTCATCGAACTCTAAAAATCGTGCAATTTTTGCGAGCTCTGATAGTTTTGTAATTCCGACAGGAATGCTAGTTTTACGCCGCAGTATCAACTTCTAACTTCAAAAAATGAGTCACAGCTCCCTGGTGGGGCTTTATGAAAAGGAAATGGAATCATAGACATAACTAGTGACAAAGCCTCCATCACCTCACATAAGATCTCATTCCTTCTGTAGGAATTCTGGTTTATATACCCCCCACCCCAAAAAAATGAGAAATATCTTCCTCTCACAGAGCTTTTTTTTTTTCCCCTCCTCTTCATTCGAAAGGTATTTTCATGACCAAACAAAAGGAAATGGTGTCATTAATGATATGTATTGTGAAAGAAGCCCTCTCAAAGCAGTGTTTTCTATAAATGTACAGATAAAGGGGCTGATCTCTTTCCCAACAAAGGATCTCTAAAATATGAAGTGAAAAGCTACCCAAGATGAAGCTGGTAAAAAACAGGCAAGGAAGAGCCTATTTCCACAACACAAACAGATTTCCTGGCCTTTAGCAGTCTCTTACTGGGATACTTTGAGACATATCCATCAAAACACAGCTGTATTCATTCATATTTCATACCTCCTCCTTCTCCCAGTGCTTTAACACAGTTCTTTGATCAAAGAAGAGAACTCGGATCACAACAGGAAGGTTCCCTGCCAGCTACGAAGAAGACACAGTACTGTACATGGCTCTGTGTAGTTGTCTTTACTTTAAATTGTCATTTATACAGAAATAAAATGATATATATTTATGCTTTGCAAATCAATGTAAAAGAAAAGAAAAATTAAAAACTTGAGAAATTCTTCCCTTTCTTGAGCTCTCCTCTGTTGTTTAATTCTTGTAAAGTTCTGTTGCAAAAAAAAAAAAAAATAAAGTGTACAATTTATCTCTATTCATCTGAAAGTGAAAGACAAACTGCACCAGTGAGTTTCCCTTAGAATATTTTTCTGAATATTTTTTTTAAAACCGATTTAAGCCTTTGTTGGGGGGGTTTGAAAGAAATACAGTTTGAGCAACTTGGGTGAAGGAATTGCTGCGAGAGTGACAGCCAGGATCAGATCCTAAACGCACAGCTCAAGAGTGTCACCATGTGGAGATGGGCAGATATGGCACAGCTGTCTGAAAAAAATGTTTTAACACAGTGCCAGAGAAACTGTGGGTTTTTTTTTTTTAAATCAACCTTAAGACTCAGTCTTTTTTTTATTTTATTGTAACTATACTTTTAACAGCTAAATTAAGTTTTAATTCAATTTAATTAACTTTCCAGCTTGTTCCTGTACCTCACGTCCAGCGTATCAATTCCAAGACGTCGCACTTCCAAGTACCCCTTTCGGTAAGGCTTGGGGAGGAAGAGAAAAAAACCTGTTTGAAGACCTCCCTGACATTTAGACTTTCTCTGAAGATGACTTTGCCTTCTACTATTGCCTGCGGGAACATGGTAAGACCCACACTTAACTTCAATTGAAATGCAGTGCCAGAGCCCTCCTGGGGAAATTATCATTCTGTTCGTAATAAGTGTCACAACAAGCACCTGGAAAATTACTTTATTACACTTCCCGCTTAAATAAAAGTTTCCTCTGACCCACTGGAATCACATGCAGCGCAGAGGAACAACGAGCAGTGCCTTGCAAAAGTGTCCAGACTCCTCGTACCTTTTGGATTTTAACACGTTTCAACAGCAAACTTTAAACCATTTCAAAGTCTGTCAAAGTGGAAACGATGTGTGGCTGAAATTCTGCCCCGGATCATGAGTGGACACAGCAACGTGGGAAAGAAGGTGGCCTGTTCTGTTGAAAACATCGTGACCTATCGGTCTGTTTTTTTTTTTTTTTTTTTCAGCAGTTGATAGGCAGATTAAAAAAAAAAAAAAAAAAAACTACACACGGATGTGAAAGACAACAACTAAAGTAAACCTACACATTATGTATGTAGTAGTTGTAGAGACTTCATAGGTAGACAGGAAGATACAGTGGTTGTGCTCTAATCTGCTCCAAGAGAGCCTTTATAAATCCTGTTTGCAGCTTGGCACAAGCAAAGTTGGCCGGCACTGCAAGTGTGGAAGAACGTGTCCTTGAGACCGGGGTGCAAGTTCACTTCTTGAGGCCAAAATTTAACCCATAAAAAGCTCAAGCTATGCCTGAACATAAAATATCCGAGCCCAAATCCCCATCGCGCCGCGTAGAATTTATTTTTTCAACAGGGACTATGAAGTTGATTAAAGTTGCTGAAGATGAATGGAGCACAATAAAGGAAAATTCTGGGTGAGAATCTGATAGACGCTGCAAAAAAAAAAAAAAAAAAATTGAAACTCGGGACCAAGTTCACGTCTTATTATGAAGTCTTTTTATGTTTGTTTCCTCCAAAGACTTGCTGTACTTACACCCAAAAGTAGATCAGCAAAGTATTGGCTCACAAGAGCTAGTTATTTTCAGAATTTTACTAGCTAAAAACCATCTATCCTTTTTTTTTTTTTCCTTTCCACTTCACACACTTAAGTGGAGTCAATTAAATACGTCAAAGTTTGTGGCTTTACCACTAGCACACGTGAAAAATGTTGAAAGGGAGTGAATGCTTTTGCAAGCCACTGTAAACACCAAAATGCTAGTCAAAGAACGCGTGTTTGCCAATGGGCTACATGAGGAGGCACACCTGTTTGATGCGATTGATTGAAGTGATTGTTGACTTTCTGCCGTAGCCTTGGATGGAGGTGCTATGAGATCCCTTTTTTCCTGTAGCCGTCATCCAAGTATGCTCCGTTTTTTTTTTTTTTTTTAGAAAATGAATGGCACAAAAATCAAAGTATCAAACATGCATCGCCTCTTCATAATGGAAATCCCTCTGAGCAAGGATGTGTAACAATGGGCCATTCTCAGCTTCCTGTCCTTTCCCTCTCCATGCCAATGAACGTGACCTCCACGGCATTAACAATGGGGCGCCTCGCAGCATAAGCATACATACACTAAGGCTGCTTTTCATCTTTGTTGTTATATTTAAGGATGACATCCTAGCCTGCTGGCCTCTAACCATTGTCTCCAGCATGATTATTTTCTACCCGTTGTTTAGCCCCAGTTGTGGCTCTTTGATGAAAAGGTCGCCACTCAATTGGAAAACAGTCATTAAAATGCGGTTGGTACTATTCACCGGTGTGCATGGGGGAACCAACTCAACTGAGCTGGTTAATCAAAAGTTAATTATATAATTTTCATGCAGATGAGGGAAACATTCAAATGAATCCCAACCCTACAATCATTACAAAAAATAAATAAAGAAATAATTCTAAAAGGCTATAAAATGTTCAGGGACCAGGAGGCTGTAAACAATATGAAGTTTAATTTGAGGTAAACAAAGTGAATATCCACAAGGGGTCTGGGGAAGGAGAAAGTGAGGTTAAATCAAATTTGGAAACATAGATACCAGCAGGTTTTGTTGTCCTGATATATGTGCAATTAGGCGGGTCCTTGATGAGGACACTGGGAGGGGAGAAAGTTGGCTCGCACGGCTAATGCTTCGGGGTTCTTTAAACAGAATTTATGGGATTTTATGCTTTATGTGTAAACATTAATTATTCTCGCAAAAGTACACCAAACCGAATTAAACCTGTATTTTAAGAAGTTGTAAAAGGATAATTATCTTTTATGAGCGTGTTCTAAAATTATTGAACACCCCATGAAGACGAGCGCAAACTCCGTGGGACCTTCAGAGGGAAATGCCCTGGACAACAATTTCCCCCCCCCCCGCAACTTTGTCCAAGAAGGCAAAGTATCACTTTTCAAAAAATGCTCAGCGTCTCCTCATCTAATGAAATGAGTGTGTTATGCAAATTACAGACATGAATATTAAACCAATGAGGTGAAGTACCACAAATGAACAAGTATTGTTCTGGAAGTGCAGCGGAATGCGGTTTAATTTCTCCTTAATTCTATGTGCTCTTATAATGTTAGCCTTTTTCCCAGTTGTGCGAGCCAGTTTGGGTTCATTGGTGTGCATTACAAGCGCGCTCTAACAATGCGGGGCCTCCCCGGTGTCAGCACAGTTCATGAATCTTAGCCCCTTATGCACCAGGCGATTAGTATGGTGCTCTGTCTGTGGGGCTTTGCCAGAAAATGAGTTCTCTTTAAAACATATGCCCCCTGCTGATTCGTTTCCTTTCCTGATATGAAATTCCAATTTTTATAATGAACACCAATTTCATATACGGAGAGATGGAAAAAAAAAAAAATAAAGTTATGCACTTCGTCTGGTTTTGGATGACTGCGGTTACCCTAAATTAGGAGAACGCCGTTGTGGACGATGCGAGCAGAAATGATTTAGATGAGTGTGTTTCGTCGGCGGAGGCTAATCAGCAGTCAGGTATACGGGCGGCGGAGAAATCAGCTGGTGTTTTCCACGTTGCATATGCATATGACTGGCGTGGCAGAAAATGGAATTACCAAAAGTGTAACAAATTCAATTAAGTCATTGATTCCTAATAAATTGGCTTAATCACCAGCTGTTGTCATGCTAAGATTGTTGTGTCACAAGTTTGTCATGCTTGTCGGTCGTGACTGCTACACAAAGACGATTTATTGGATTTAAAGCTACAAAAGATCTTTTATATTTCTTTAATGTGGTGACCAGATCTGTAAGGTGTTTTAACCAATCTGATTAAATGAAACAATACACCTTTAAGTCAGGGTTGAAACGTTTATTATAATTGATTTATAATGACATTAAAGACATTTTATGTGTTGAAAACAAGAAAAAAATCTGAAGTCAGAGTAGGCAGTCCATGGCGTTGATTATAATGCAGTTTGTCTTCTTTTTGATGCTCCTTTATTTATTCAGGAACCTTTTGTTTCTGTCAAAATGGCTGGAGCCATCATTGATCTAAAGAAATTAAAACCAGACATTTGTTAGAATTTAAACTACAACTTGAATATGGCTCAGTGAATGGAACAATTCATTCTTTTATTTCAGTATTTCAATTCACATTGCTGAATTACACACCGAGTGATAACATCACATATTTATTTCTGTTGACTTTGTGACTGGTGTGTCTTACTGAAAATAGCAAATAATTTCTCTGTGGCTTTGGGCAGCGCGTGTTTCTCGTCTATCGACTACAGCGACATCATGGTCACTAAAAAACATACTGATACTTTTAGCGGCATGGATAGGTGATAATTCTTGCTGTGGTGTGAATGCAGCATCTTCACAAAGCTTGTCTGCAGAGGGAAGCATGAACATCACCAAATGTTTGGTAGAAGATTGATGAAACACATTGGACCGACAGCAGCATGACCAGATAAATAAACCCTGAATAAAGTCTTCATGACTGCAAACTAATTTCTGAATAAAATGTGAAAGTTAATTTGATCTGAAAAGAGGGCAATTACCCAGAATCTCTTGAATGATTTTGCTTCACATTTAGGTTGAGGCTGGGATGTTTCCTGCTTGTGCAGTTTTAACGGTTTTTTTCCTTCTACTAAACTTTCCATGAATACATCTGGATACAGCAGTAACCTTTTGTGGATTACTCTCCTTGTGAGGCATGTCAAGTGGAGTACCGTCAAGTCTTTTCCATGACTGTGTAGCCCTTAGTGTTACATGTATGTGTTAAAATGTTTATTTGTCTCTAATACCCTAATTGTCTGGGAAGCTCAATTTTGGTTTGCATACCCAGAAGCTTGAAACTTATACAAAGTTTATGCCATAAATGTATCCGTCTGTCCCATGAAAATGTTTAATAATATTCACTGTGAATTTGATTTGCGAGAGTTAAAGTTAGATATTGAATCACAGCTTCTTTTAAATCTGTTTTTAGATACATTTATATGGATAAGAATTAGCTCTGAATTACGGTCGTCACCCTTCTGTGAGGTAAAAATAAAAAAATATGACCCATTAATCATGCACAAATTCAGTCAGGCAGGAGCGGAAAAATGAAAACAGTGATTGAGCCATTTGTATATTGTCATTGCGATTTTAGAGCATGGCGGCTTCAGGGGCATGATGCACATTAATATTGTACAATTGAAGAGAACATTGAGGATGAATTATGTATAAAAAGCTCTTACATTGTGCGGCCTGAGCCTCTCCTGGGTTTGGGCACTCGCCTCTTCAGGAAGCGACACCACTCCTCCGGTGCCCATCATCTGAACATGACATGAGACATTTTGGAACTGAAACCAATGCTTGAAGTGAAATTCAACCTACAGCACCAGAGTCGGACTTCACACGCCAGTTCTATGAAAGCATTACTCGTAAAACGGGTTTTTTTTTTCTTCAATAAAGTTACCACATTTCCTGAAACTCCAACTCCACATAAAATAATCACTCACCCTGATGGTTGCCTCGAGCTCTCCCACGCTTCTCTTTCCACCTGGTAGCCATCCATAGGACCAGTGCTGGCACAGAGTGACCTGAGCCAGCAATGCCAACAACAGCACCTGCACCATAACTCTGCTGCTTGCCTTCATTAAAGCTGCGGGGAAAGCCAAATATGTAATAAAAACAATAATGTCACAGCTCCGCAGCCCACGGATGCAAACTAACTCATCACCGTGCGCAAGCAGACTGTAATTTAGACCACAGTTAATCAAAACAACACTTATAAGTTCATGGACGTTCACTCAACTTCATCGAAGACTATCTCACCTCTGTGTTTTCCTTGTTAGCATGTGGTGCATTAGCCAGTGGGGGGGGGATTTTATAGGTGTCGTACAAGGCTGCTGTCAGGATTATAATCCCCTCTTTGCAGGTGTGACACATTTACGGACTAATGGGACACAAAACACAACTAATGGAGCTGGCTAAGTGCTCACATATGCTGAGATCACCGCCAGGCTTGGAGAGGCATTAAATATATATCATAAAATGTCTTTGTGATGTATTGGATGCATCTGTGTGGAGGTGCTCACTAAAAAAAAAAAAAGAAAAAAAAGACATTTGGATGAAACCTGACGTTTATCTCCATCTATAATTTATTGGACGCTGCTTTTAGCAAACAGTTGCTGAAAATCTGCACAGATACAAAAGGCAGAAAAAAAAAAACATCACTTAAACCAGATGCTTGTGCATTTGTTACACTTGCTGTAAGGCTTTAAATGTCATTACCCTTATCTGTTATTCGTTTAGCAAAAGAACAGATTGAAGTCAACAGTGCAGTTAGCGATGATGAATGACCACGACTGATTTTATGTATACACCAAAAATGAAAAGTAAATAAAAAAAAAATAATAAGAGCAGTGATTCCAGTGTAAACCAATTATTTGGATGTACAAACATAGTAGAAAGTTTGCTGTACAACCTTCAATGCTCCACAAATACTTAATCACAAAACTTGCAAAAATATAGTTCCATATAGGCAATTTAGGATTATCAATAACTATTGTGGTTACTATAGAGTGTGAGTTTCTATTTACTATACAATGGATAAACCCGTGTTAAAAGGATGAATTCTTGTTGCTGTAAAGTGATGCAACTCATTTCAGTTAATAAGATATGTCGTAAGATGCTTGGGATTGTGAAGATTATTTTTAATTCGCAATTTAATGCTTTCACGATCACATTTTTAAAAAAAAATATCTCAATTAATTTTTATCATCTTTGACATCTCAAGTCCAAACGTTTCATGTGATTTTCGTTTTTCAAGAATTCGAAGTCAGAAAAATGACACACATACCATTTTATTTTTGTATTTTCCAAGTTAACTAATTAACCCGAGTTAAGGCGATCATACATTTGTTTGTTTTGGTTGATTTAATGTACCATATGTGTAGATAATATTTCACAGAAAAAGAATTTGGAGATCGCTGGAGATTTTTTTTTCTGACATCTGCATCCGTCTGCTGGATGAACACACGATTTCACCTGCTGAGGCACTGATTCATCGATTACTGCGACCCAAAATCGACTCGGAAGCCTGATGGACAAAGCTGTGATTAAATATCAGAGTTATTGTTAATTCCAAGAATTTTTCCTAAGTTGAAATATTAGTTTTGGTTTGTTTTAAAATTAGTCTGTTACTTGTTTGCTCTGCAGAATTTCAAGCAAGAAACAACTTTGCATGTATCATTTTGACTATTAGTTTAACTATGCAAAATATGCCAAATGTGCCGATATTTATATTAGGAATTTAGGAGAAATGTTCAAAGTCGTTTACAGAATAAAACCAAAATAATATTAATGTTCTTGAAACATATACGTGTACTTTTGTTATTCCACCTTTATTTATTCGGGTAAATCTTACCGAGATATGAGGTGAGGTCTCATTTTCACGGGCAACCGGTTTTTATTTAAAGCTAAACTGATAAAGTTTGACTTTGAATAACAATAGCAGGAGTGACACAAATTAAATGTAGAGGAGAATGGACTATACGCCAGTGGATCCCGAGATATTAGCGACTGTGAGCTGTATGACTCAATGTTGCTGTCATTACATCTTTTAAATTAGTTAACACAAAAACGTTCTTCACATCAAACAAACAAATTGAGGTTTACTTCAAACCCAAAAATGTTTGCATTCAAGTTGCATGTTTAACAATTGTAATTATATTGAGGCTAGAAGTGAACGGTCTTTTCTGGTGAAAAGTGTCTTTTTGGTGCCAAAAGTAGAGCTCACCCAGGGTGCCACTCATGCAAGAACCTCTGCTGCTTACAGTAAATCTGTTCCCAGAGTCTATTTTTAATTTGTTCATACTTGAAGGTGTTGTAGGAATCCTGACTCTAGTTTCCTGCCACAGTCTACAGAACATTAATGTCAGATAATTGTCATTTTAAAATGATTATTCCTTATCTTTATTAGTCTTGTCCTTCTGATAAACTACAGAACCATGCAGGGTTTACCTCGCCTCAAACCTTTTAATCAATGGAAAGTAGCTTCTGTGTCAGAAACCTAAATATGACGAGGTAGGTGTAGAAAACAGATTAATGTATTGGACATTTTATTATTATTCCCTAATCTATACGTGAAATGCTTCTTCAAAATATATGTTACATAAAAAAAAAATCTAAAAGATATTGCAAACAACCGTCTTAACATAATTTAATTTGTGTCACTTTGTGACAAGTTTCTCAAGATCAGAACTTTGTCTAATCAAAATGGCACCGATTTACACAAGATGGAAGCATTTAAACCTGGTTCGATACGATATATAAAAAACTATTCTCTTAAAAGCAGAACGTGACGCTCGGCTAGGATGGTGCATCTGGATTATTCTTGATATAACGCATTACTTCCTGCCCGTTCCAATACAAGCTAATTGCATGTTGCCAAGTCAGGCACCAATCCACTAATATTTATCGCCACAGGCAAAACAGAAGTTAGTTAGTGAGGCTGAATCTAATTGCAGCAGACAGCAGCTGTTAAGTGAATCCCAGACTGAAAGTGAGCAGAAATAAACGTATATATGGAGTTTTCTGTTTCTCGTTGAGCACAAATAATATTTACACAATAAACGTACTTATTTTTTGCTTATAAATTGTTACAACAGTAGCACACAAGTTCATTCAGAAAACCTAATCTGTTCAGATTAGATCACTTGTTTTCGAGAGTCTGCAGCTCTCCTGTGCCAAAAGGTCTCCCAACACTTTCATTAGTTCTGTTATGCCAAGTGTAAAATGTAAAAAGCTATACAAATCAACATTAAGAAAAAAACAAAGCAGACTTTTATTTGGCTGATGTATATACAAAGTGACCTATTTAAAATTGGCATAGTCTGAGAAAATGTCGATAAAATCCTGGACCACTCTGTAGCAGAAGTCATATTGCTCCTGGAAACGAAAAGCGAGAGGAGAAGCATGAGCACAAACCGTCCAGACAACATAACCACGGACAAAAGTGACATGTTTAAAGCGATCGCGCGTTGCTCTCACCACGGTCTGAACCATGTGTGGTCTTTGCATGCGTAAACTCTTGACTGTCTGAAATACGTCCAGGAGGCCTTCGGCTTTTACTCTTTCCAGAATGTTGCTGAGTGCAATAAAGGTGCCAGTCCGTCCCGCGCCGGCGCTGCGAACAGAAGGTGCAGAATTAATGAAAAGCTACTTCTCGAAATGCAAACGCTGGAAGTTCTTTCTCTCATCTTTTTCTTTGTTCTGCCTAAGCGGTTTAGCAAAGCAGTGCAGCGGGTCTGGCAGCCCTGCAGTGTCAGGCCAGATTTCCTCTACAGAAGTGGAAAGTTGTATATTTCTTCTGTTGCATAGCTTAGTGTATTTTGAAGAAAAGTTTCCTCAGAGGCCCTTCAAAGTAGGGTTGTTGGAATTTTTTTTTTATATTTAGTCACAACAGAGTCTTATATTTGACCTCAAAATGTCTTACAAAAAGCTGATCAAAAGGTATCCTCGAAAAGCATTATTATTTTTTTTTCTGGATGTCTGTAGAGATACAGTCTTATTCAGCATATTAGAAGTTGCGATCCAATAAGACTCATTTGTCAGATTAAAAATACTTTTTGAAAATTAAATTGACAGCCTTTTTTTTTAATTAAAGCTGCTTTTCTTTATTTACTTTTTTTATTGGTTTGATGTAATATTCTCATTTTAAAAGTCATGTTTTCATCAAGTGCAGGCAGAAAATCATCATGATTAACAGAAAGAAAGGCTTCAAACACCCATCTGTCTGTAATTAATCTATGTAATGTGTTTCACTTAGTAATGAAGCTCCTAACATAAATGGGCTTTTCAATAACTTTTTAATTTATCGAATGAGTCTGTGTATCGTAGACCTTCAAATGTGAATGATATGTGTAGAAATTCAGACAATGTTAAAATAATCCATAATTAGTCCACTCTGAATACTAGTTACTCTGTTAATTATTTAATGGGAAACTTCCTTTTATTCAGTAAAAGATTTTTAAATCTCCAATATGGAAACAGCACTACCACTGTCATATGGGCTTAAATGCTTCTTAAAGCTCCACAACTCAGAATTTCTCATTGTTCCTTCACTCTTTTCTCCCTCCAGTTAAAGCAAGACATTACAACTAAAACATCGGCTTTTTTTCCCCCGTCTTTGGAGACCAATAAACTTACAATAAAATTAGTTATAAAATAAAATTAAATTAAACTTAAGCAGTAGTGGTTGCATACTCAAGTTACGATCCTTGTCCTTCAGATTTATGTTTTTGACTCATTTAACTAATTCATTAGCAAATGAATTCCTCATTGAAATAAATATTTTAACATATTAATATGCATATGCAAGACCATGTTTCTTTAAATTTATGATAAAATCCTCCCATAGGAGGGAATGAATTAATCACTCAGACTAGAAATTATGACACTGGTTATTTAGGCCTATTAATGCCACTTCAACGTATATTCCAGTTTCTTTACAATGGAATTAAAATTCAGACCATTTGTTTTCTACTTGACGTGAAAAAAGTTAGAGGGAGTAAAGGTGACCTTTGTGTAATGGCACTAGTAATTATCCCCACTTAAAGAGAGGCTAATCCAAACGCCAACACTAATCAGTTTGGAAGCTCAGTATTTGACTGAGTCAATGTTTACTATGACGGTGGGATGGAGAGATGGAGATGTGTGTGTGTGGGGGGGGAGGTAGGGAAGTGAGTGAGCGCGAGAGTGATGTGCAACTCGGAAGAGAAAGTGTAGAGAGACGTTGGGGATTGCAGCGGGTTAGCCCCATTCCCGGGAGAGGGGGAAAAAAGCTTTAAAAAGCCCCTCCTAGACAAGCGGTGATGAAGGAATAGAGGCAAGTGATGACACCATTTCCTGTCGTTAGCTCATCTTATCAGATTAATCATAGTGGGAGTCAAAGGAGATTTCACTTTGAGAGGTTTTAATTGACTGTGAATCAGTGGATTGGATCAATCCCATCGGGGTACGCTGCCTTAGAATCACTTCACCTGAAGCTAGGTTCTGATCAAAGCATTCACAGCTAAGTCTTTATAAGGGATCACATAAGTGGTTTAGGCGTAGAACACTGGGTCTACTGAGAAAACGTACAAGTTATTGTAGGAACAAGAAAAAAAAAATTATCTGTAAAATCAAAAGTCCAGATTTGGATAACACAAAAAACAAGTGAGGGTGGAAAAAGTAGGAGTACTTGCACAGTTTTCTGCTGATGTTCCTCACCTGCAGTGTACAACTATGGGACGGTTTCCAGACTGCTGCTGCTGCCTCTGCACAGCAGCAATAATGTCAATCATCCCCCTTCCCTCTCCTGGTATTCCGATCTCGGGCCATCCGTGGAAGTGGAAGTGTCGGACGTGTTGCGACTGTTTTTCCTGGAGAACATTTGCAGGATTTAAGTCTTTTTCCTGATGTGTCATGACAAAGCGAGATGTACCGTAGATTACTGCACAACATGACGCACTGGCTTGTTGGAGAGAACCATATCTCTGCGCGTGAAGGTTTCACCCCGTGTTTCCAGTTTCAGCTCCACTGTGTAGTCTCCAAATGTTATACTGCCCTCTGATGGCCAATACTGGAAACACTTTTCCTGAGAGAGAAAAAACAAAAAACAGAGAATATTATGAGACGACATTTACCTGATTTGTTTGCCACATTCCTCAATTTTAACTGTAAGATGTTTTGGGGGGGTTTCTGGCACATTCTGTTGGGTTCATTTCACCCCACATATCTGTTAAACCAAGATCTGACCTTTGACACATTCAGGAATCTGTTTCTAAATTTCATTCTCAAGCAGCTTCTGATGGATTTGGGCTGCTTTCCTAGAATGACGTATTTGGCTTCATGCAAAACATGTTCTCCATTCTCTGGTCCAAATATTTCATTTTTAGATTCTAACGGTGCCAAGAAGATCATTCCAGATGTCCTTCTTTCTCTGCGTTCTCTGACAAATTTCAGTCGGGTCTTCGTGTTTTTCATAGAAAGCAAACGCTTCCTTGCAAACTCTGATGAATGTTACACTTGTGGATGAGTGATGACATCGTAGTCGTCAAATAGCTCACAGGAGGAAAGCCTGAACTGGGCATGTCATCCTAAACATTCTCCACTTGAAAAATAGTTTCTGTGCAGTTTAATGGTTGCTTTATAAATTCTTTTGAGCCTTCTTTAAAACCTCACCAGACTAAAAAATGGTACAATCTCCTTTTAAAGGTCATTGACAGATTTTTCAACCTCTCCATGGTGTTTACACACGTTAGAAAAACCTTCTTTCTAGTGCCCTAATTTCCTCACATGACTGTATGTTTTAAGTGTGAGATACAAAAATCATACCAAACAAGAAAATGCAGACCAAAAAAATCTAATAATAATAATAATAATAATAATAATAATAATAATAATAATAAAGGGAACATTAAATGTGCAGATCAATTTCTCTTCATCCGTTTGTGCAGCACCACGCTTTACCTGCTCTCTTTCTTTGAGTTCGGTGAGCATAACGATTGAGTGACACCTCCACTCCCACACCATCCTCCAGAAGTCCTCCACAGTGTGAGACAGGGGGCCCTGGGTTGCGATAAAATAGTCCTTCTGCCTGTAGCCCTGGAGGGCGGATCATCCAGTAAACAAGACTTGAGAGCGCGGCAAAACATAATATTTTGCATTGTTTGCAAAGGAAACAATGAGCTTTATTTATACTTTTTATGGGAAATCTATACAGGAGGTTGAGAGGGAGCGCTTACATCAATAAAGGAGGCATTGATGTAGTCGGTGAACTCCTGTCCTCTTTTCACTGAGAGTATTACTCGGTTGAAATCATCTGCAGAGAGAGGGAAAAAATAAAATAAAATAAAGAGACAAAAACTTTCCACAAGTTATTTTTAAAAAAAAAAAAATTTTTTTTTTTTTTTTTTTTTTTTTAAAGGCTGATAAAGAAAAGATGTAAACATGCTTATTAAAGTCAGAATACAATATCAAACGTCTGTACATTGTAAAATAAATGTGGCTTCTTTCATTACTCTACTTGTAACTGAAACAACAACAACAAAAAAGAAAAGAAGAAGAAAAAGAAAAAAAAACAAACACAAGCCCACATTTAAATATCATTGATCTGGCTGACATGAACCGATTCGACAGATATCCATGTACGGCGTCTGCGAAATCAGCGCTTTGATGTTACTCGGATGTAATGCATTATGAAACCAACCGGGCATAAAAAAAAGCAGCCCTTACACGGGATGATCTGAAGCACGCGGTTCTTCCTCATGTTGGCTGGAAGGTTCCCGGTTCTCATGTTCTCCTTCATAATGCGAACGTTGGTCAGCTTCTGATGGGGAGAAAACGCATTCAAACCGACGTGGATCAAAAACTTTAATCAACACAGGGTATGTGTTTAATGCGATTAAACACAGAGTCTTTCTTTTTTTTACTCTAAAGCAGACAATGGTTCAATAATGTTAACAACTACAAAAAAAACTGAAGCTGGACAAAAAAACATGACTTGTTGGTAAAGGGAGGGGTGGGGGGACGGGAAAAAAAAAAATCTGAAAAGTAGGAACTGGAGTGTAATTCCGCTCAGTTTGCGATGAGCCATGGAGGATTGTGCATCAAAGCTAAAACAAACTGAAGACGGCAGATGGTGGTGCCTTATAAAGTTTCAGCTGATCCAAAAACATTTTTACTTATGATTTTCGCCGCCAAGAGCTGCACCCTGGGCAACATTTCCATGATAATATAACTGTGTAGGATGCAGGGTGATGGGCGACAATTCATTCTTTACTGAGATGTTTAACGGGGAGCTCCTTCCTTCGTACCCTGAATTCCTCCTCCAGGCCCAGCCTGTCGTGGGGGGCCCTGGTGTTGTGAAGCCTTTGCAGATGGCCCTCCAGAGAGCACACATCTAGCTCAGTGTCTCCGTACAGATAGTACTCCAACAGAGCCTGGTAGATAAAGGAGTACTGCATCTGAGGAGGAAAAGATCAGAAGACACAACAGAAGCCGATTTAGTTCTGCTGAACTATTTTTCTCTATATTTTATTTTTCTGTATTACAGAACATAGCTGTTTTCCAAGTTTGCCGGTTGTTTACGGTTCCGAGTCGAGCCGTAGGCTCAAGGTGCAGCGGGTCGGACGGGGTCGTCACTTACGTCTGTCTGGATGAGTTGACAGCGCTGCTCTCGTATTCTGCTCACAAAGCCGAAGACGTCCACTCGCTGCTCCATGTGCATCATGTCGATCATGCTGTCAATGACAATGAACGTCCCCGTCCTCCCGACTCCGGCGCTGCGGAAAACACAAACAAGGGAAAGGTCTGGTCTGTGACAAACAGCTCAAAAAAAAAAAAAAAAGTTACAAAACAAAACATGCACAAAGGAAAACCTTTACTGCACCTTGCAAAACATATTCATGCATCCCGAGCCCTTTCGCATTTTCCTCACGTTCCAGTCGAGCTCCAGTGTATTACATTGGGATTTTATGCGACAGACCAGTAGAATAATGGCGAAAGGAAAATAAATAAATTTTTCAAAACAAATCTGAAAGGTGGGGCTTATGTACGTACATTTTTTTTTTCCAACTCCTCTAACACTTTGACACAAAATCCAGGGGAACCAACTGACTTCAAAAGTCAAATATGCAAATCCACTTGTGAGTAATTCAACCAAACAAATAAGCAGGGAACACAACAGACAGGTTGTAAGCTTAAAGCAGTATTAGGTTATTAAACAGCATCCCGAGTTTTGAAATTCTCACAGAACTCTGTTCAATCCGTCATCTTAAATCCGAAATAACGCACTGGCACTCTAGAGGACATGCTGAGATCTCCAGCTTAGTCATGCATCATTTTTTGTGTTTAAGCAGGCATTAGGAGTTCTGTTTCCAGGTTGCCGTCCTACAGGTGACACAGCAAACACGTCAAAAACATTTCACTTTTTGGCAACATCACGTTGCGAGGATGCGTTCCTTCAGCAGTGAGAACTCAACAATAAACAAAAAGCAATCTTGTAGGATAACCCGATAGAAGTTTCCAAAGCTTTGGTCTGGTGGTGGTTCGCATACAGACAGAGCTACAATGGAATGGTTTAGACCAAAGCTCCGTAATGCTGCTAAAAGAGGAATGTCTACATGCAAATCTAACAGAACATTTGTGGAGATCCTTTAAAAGAAAATATATGCTCAAAGACACAGCAATCCCAAGTCTCCACATGTGCAAAGCTGGTAGAGAGCTCCAATTGCAGAGTAATGTAGTTCTCCCAAGTAATTGACGTGGAAGGGACCGAAAGCAAATGCACACCACATTTTTTAGACGCTCACCAGTAAAAGACCACTTTACAATTATGCACTACCTAGCGCTGGTCTATCGCATAAAACCCCCCATAAAATACATTGAAGTTTTTGGTGGTAATGAGACACAAGCCACTGTAAGCAGCCTATATTTGCCTCCCACTTAAAGAAGCCGTAGCTGCAGAACCGTAGAACCGTGTGCTTCGAACAAAGGAGTCAATTGTGGCCAGCGAGCATATGCAGAAATGCTTCGCCTCTGAAGTCCAAACACAACACTAATAGATTTACAAGGGTCATTTGGGCAAACTGCACCTCTGGGAGCACAGAGCCTGGATTCCACAGTGGGGTGTTGAACTTCAGCAGTGTGGGCCCCATTCAAGAAGTCAACACCTGTTGCAGCAGTTGCTATAGTCAGCTGCAGATTTCTTTGGTTGGCCATTATGCTGATCATTGAAACAAATACAATTCTAAAGCACTTCATTCTAAAAAAACTTCATTTTTCTCTCTATATATATAGAACCCTACTAACCCTGGGTGTAAACTCAGCTTTTAACTTAAATCAGCAACTCTGTTTCTTTGTGTCGTTCCACTTGATGTCTCCTTTCTTCCTGTATTTTACCTGCAGTGGACAACAATAGGCCCAGCATATGACGGATTGACAGCCTTGACCTTCTTCAGGAATTTTAGCATTCCGATCGGCGTGAACGGCACCCCGAAGTCTGGCCAGCTGGTGAAGTGGAGCTGGGTGACCAGCCGAGGAGCTCGAACGCCATCGCTGCCCTGCTGCAAAAGTACAAACACGCCACAGGTGTTTCACCAGGGATGTGGACACACAAATCAGTTCAAGAAAGCCACCTACAAACTGTTAAATGTTGGTAGGATAATTCAAAATTAGCATTTACGTTATTTAAAAAATATATATGTATATACCCAGATAGCACAGAATGATTGAAACAACATTGAATCAATGTCAGCCAGAAACATTGAATCAACGTTGAACG